CAAAGCAGTCTTTCGTTGGTGGATCTTTACATAGACTCAGTCTCCTGGTTTCAATGAATGGCAGGACTGCTACCGTCTTTAGGTAGGGCTTCTTTACCTGTGGAAAAAACCTAACACATTTCATTAATGCCTGGCAGTGTTTTGCAGATCTCATAGTTGCTTGGGCACATTCAGGCCCCCCTGTTCTTGGCTGTCAGCCAAGTCTTAGCTGTGAGCAGTGTCCTTGGATGGGGCCAGCATCTTATCTTTGGACTGAGCTTGCTAGCTATTTTTTTTTTTAACAGTTAACTCGTTCTGTTCCGTTCTTTTTTTCTTTTTTTTTTTTCTTTCTTGGGTTCTTTTAACCTACAAAGGAAACTTCCACTCTTCACTCATACACCTTTTCCCAACAATGAACACATACACATTGCCATTATACAGTACATTAGTCTTATTATTCAATGTATGCCATATACACCCTTCCAGTAAAATAACTTTATTACAGAGCTTTGGAGCAACAAACCAGGACAAGCACACCCACTTTTGAGGAGTCCACTCGGTACAACCTCTGGTGTCCAATAGCTTTCCTCCCTCCCCAGACCTCTGGCTAGAAATCTGAGGTAGCCAGAAGGATCCCATGGGCAATATGGGAAGTGGGTTAACCTTCCATGTCCTTGCTTCCAAAGACTGTTGGTATGCAAATTTTAACAACAATTTTGGCCACAAGACAAACATCACAAGACAGGACATAGAACACAAAAATAATTCCTATTGTGCCAGTAAATGCATGGTACGTTGAATGCCATTCAGCTGGCATCCGTTTTCTCTGATGATCTGCAAGACAAAAGAACAGAGGTCTACCCCTTCTGGGCAGTCAGTCATTGCTTAAAATATTTCCTTTATATACACATACTCTTGTTGATTTTAGGCAAAACAGAGGAATTACCCCATATTTCCTTGTATTTGTTTCATAGGCAGCCCAGGTTTCAGTGGCTTCTACCTTATTAGTAAGAAAATTGCATTAATACAGATGCTTTCTGGCTTGCTTCCAGATCCAAAACTATCCACAGCTTAAAGATTCTTACTTAAAAAGGGACACAATTAACTTTCCCAGACTTTTGATTGCCTTTTACTTCTAACTTTCAAACACTCAGTGATCTGAAAAAGACAACACAACCTATATTGGTAGGTTTGCATTTCTTTTACCTCTACTACAATATACACTGCACATGTTCTGGGGAAAATGCACATCCTCTCCACAATTCAATTTCCACAACACTAGCCACATCAATTTTTACACAAGGTGTAACTATTTCTTTTGTGCTTACAAAATCTCCATGCACCCCTAGTAAGACAGTTCGACCACATAGAGCCAGAGGCACTGTCCTTCTCTCTCGTTACCAGATCTTTCATCTGCTATTTTGTTACCCAAAAACAAATTCAAATCTTTTATTCTCCTGGCTTTGACTACCCTGCAGCAGCCACAACCTTTGGTCTTTATTTAAAACATTTTAAATCCTGTAAAGCATTAAGTCACCTTAAGGATTAAAGACTAAATACCATATTAAACAATACTAGTTTCCCGTATCTGGCAAAAGTATTCTTGGTTTTTGCAACTTTAAACAATACCAATTCATCTCAAACTTATAAAACACAGATCCCACAAAAACCAATAATCCATTTGTCCCGGTGCCTGGTTTTCCAGTACCAGGCGCAAGGGAGTTAAGTAAGTCGGAATGTCAAAAGATCCGGATTCGGGCCAATCAGTGCCCAGGGCTGGCCAATCCTGGGTGCAAAGCTGCAACAAGCATCTCTTCAACATTCTTTTCTGAACACCGGGTAAAGGCCATTTACTTAACATATAATCCAAAGGGCTATCCTTAGAGGGTTTCCTCTGAGACCCACCCATCCCCCTTCTGACACTCAAACTAAGAATTAGACAGAAAGGTGGAGGGAATTATGGTCTAATCCAGAAATCTCTGCTTACCCCAACTGTTACAGGGGACAGGACAGAAGAATCTCAATCTGACCTCAAGGCTTCCTCGCACGCTATGGCTTCCACCCTGAGGAATTATGAACGAGAAGCTCCGTTCCACCCACACACCTAACACCCAAGCGTACAAGACAGAAATTCATTAACCGGTTAACCAGAACAGAACCAGAACCAGAGTCAGATAGTGTTTCCTTATCCTATTAGGGCTCACCTTATCGGAGCACGAACCCCAGGGGCTGCGGTGAAGTGAGGAAAAGGGGCTAAGCACCCCGTTGGCGCCATTCCTAGTTCGCCGCAGCCATCTGGAGTCCAATGTCCGAGCTAGGAGGGTCCCATCTGGGTCGCCAGAAACTGTTACCGAAATGTCGGGTCCGCCTAGCGGAAAGCCAATAACAGCCAGACAGGGATAAGGAAAAGGTTGCTTTATTCTGCAGAAGAAAGGAGAGCTTTGCACCTTGGTACAAAAACTCTAACTCATACAAAAGCCAAAGATCTTTTATACACTCAAACACAGGCCCTGGTCATGTTAACTTTTGATTGGTGGTTAACAGACCCTGTACTTCTGCTATCTGGTCAGTGAAAACCAGTTTGGGACCAGCTCCAACTACCTCAAGGTCTTGAAAGGGAAGACAGTTGAAAAGTTCAGGCTACTATGTACTTGAGGTGTCTGCTTCCCCCTAATGGCCGCTGGCTGCCATAACGGCTGCTAGCTGTTAAGGGGGTGTGGGGGTCGCTGCTGACTGTCACAGTACTACTCAGTGTAAAACATCAGAATCTAGCCCTTCGATAATATTGATCTAATTCATAGGTGTCACTGCATGAATGAGTAAGACTGAAAACTAGAGGTCAGGAACAAAAGAAACTTATGAGTCTTTTAAAACTAAGCATATGCTATACATACCTGAACAGTACAAATGATCCCTACTGATGAATGTGAAGATACAAGGGACAGAAATTCTGAAAAATCAGCTTAATATTTATATAGAAGCCAGGTAATGTCAGTGATATCTTCAGTATGTTAACCAAGAAGTGTTTTCAACTCCAACCAGTGAACCACATTTGAATGGTGGATGGGGAGAAGCCATTGAAAAGTAGAAGAAATAAGTCAATTTCCAATAGCTGGGTTCTGTTCAGGGCACGCTATGATGTGTAGTGGTTTTGCAATTTGAAATCTGCTCACAATACAGATACTGTAGTGCTTTGACTCCAGAAGTAAATGCATGCTGCCCTAAAAAATAGTGCTTTTTTCACAAAGATTTCAGAATCCGTGAATCGCTTTCTGTAGTACAAAAAGTAAAGTCATAAGACATGTGAATGACTTGGTTGTTTACTACATACATTTTAATGTATTTACTTTTCTTTTTGTGGTGGTGGGAAACTGTATGTAGGATCCAGCGATGCAGTGTTTGCTTCCTGACAGAGAGAACTTCACAGTGCCACTGAACCATAACATGGCAGTCAATGGGGAAGGTGGAACTAGAATGTCAGCTATAAGCTTCATAGGTGCTTTGCGAATACCTGTGAGTACATGCATTAGTCTTATCCACTGTACATTGACTTGGGTTTTATCCGACAGGATTCTGATTTTTATACAGTTTAAATGGAGAAGTGGACAAAGTTGGTTTTCCCATCTCAAAACTGGTATTTTATTCAGTCCTGTTGAGTTTTAACTGGATGTCGGGAATCAGGGGGTCTATGGTATAAGACAAAGTGGGTGTCCTATTCAGAAGAAGAGAGGATACAGAAAAAGGGAATATTTGGCTCAAAGAAGCCAACTGAATACATTAATAAATCACATATTCGAATTTACAAACATTCAGAAAACTAGTGAGTGCAAGTTTAAACCTGCTCTTGGAGTTTTAAGCTGTATAGCTAGCACTCACACACTTCAGAACCCAAGAGTATGATGACATTATTAACATAATGGGACAATATGTATGTATGAGGGGAGAGAAATAAGGGGATCAGAGAGGAAACCTTGAATTGTCAGGGATGGAGGTGGAGTAGCTGAAATACCTACAGCCTCTTCTGCGGAGGCGACAGAACTGTCCTTTCATATCACCTCTTCTTATGCTCCTTGAAACCTCAGGTAACTGACTAGTCCCAGTTAGAGCTGGTTGGAATTTTCTATCTAATTTGGGGGAAGGGGTTAATGAAAAAAGGTAGTTTTCACAAAATTACTGATTTTTCTTGAAATTTTTCACAATGGAAAATTGGAAAAAAAAATTGTTGGGGTAGGGTTGACCTGAATCAAAATATTTCCGTTTATTGAACAGAATCAAAATATTTTGAGTCACTTCAATTTTAATCTGCATCCACCTGAGCTACCGTGGTACTTCACTGAAGTTGTAATTCAGGTCTTCCTCATTCTACTCTCTGAGTCGGGCCTCTCAGCTAGACTACATCTCTCATGATGCTCTTTGGTCTTCCCTCTGGCTGAACTGCCATAGTGTATCATGGGAGATATAGTTTTTGCTGGGGAACCTGGCTCATAGAGGAGAATGGGGGCATGAGGCATCTGAACTACAATTCCTAGGAGGCACTGGCAGCTCAGGCAGATGCAGTTCAATGTCAAACTGAAACAAAATGTTTCCAAATAGAAATTTTTTGGAACTTTTCATTCCCTGAAAAATGTAGCAATTTTGACTTTTCATCCTGTTTTGAGGCAAAAAACAATGTTGAAATATCAGAATTTCCTGCCGGACAAAAGTTCTGATTTCTGACCAGCTTTAGTCCCAGTGGTTCTGCAATTCTGTGATCTCCTTAAGTGGGATGAACTCTTCATCCAGTATGAGCAAGCTGAACTTCAATGCATGTGCTTTTTTTGTCAGATGTGTTTTGGTTTTGCTTTTTGGTGGGTGGGTATGAAGTGGAAGTCTGAAGTTGAGCTATATGAATTTGGTATATAATATAATATTCTATAGCCCATTACCCCTGTTGTATGTGTATTTGTCCTCATATTTGGAGTAGTTGTATTGATGTACATTATGGAATATTAATAACATTGATTAGCACTTGATTACACCAGGGCTTTACTGCATTAATTGGCTGCCTATGTTGTTTAAGTGTTAAATTGAAAAATGAATTCAACAATTGTTAAAATATGATGGAAACTCCTACCTAGTCTCCTATCTACATCTTCCATAGAGTCAGTGGACCGTGCTCTATCCTGGTACAAGCGGGCTATAACGCCAGGGAAGTCAGTACAGTTGTACCTGCTTACAGTAGGATTTAATTTGGGCCGGTGTCACAAATGGCATCACTTCTTCAGGCAGATGACTTCCATCACTAGTAGGTTCATAAATGATAATTGTCATTTTCAAAAGCTCCTAATTTGAAAGCACAGTTTATGGCTTATGTAGGGGAGCATCTTACCACTCAAACTTTCAGGCTGCTGGATAAAAGGAAAGGGGGAGTTTGTTTGAATTCAGGGTAATAGCTCTGCTCAGGGAAACACAAATGAATTCCAGCTGGAACTGATATTGGGCCTGTGTGAATGTAGGAAAGAGCTACTGGCACTATATGCTACCCTCCTGTACCCTTAGATTCTACCCAGTACCTGATCCTGCAACAGCAAGGTGATATGTATCTAAAATATCCTCTTCTGCCTTCTCCTCGAGTCTTCCCCTTTCACTTCTCCCGTGACTTGGTGGTGGGAATGAATAACACTTTAAATACAGCAAGGTGTGAGTGTGGGAGGGAGGGTGTTGAGGGGGATGGGAAAGCATGAATGTGGTGGGGGGGGGCAAATCTCCAGCAATCCATATTGATACTTGCAGGAGTAGCATAACAGCAAGGACTTAAAACTGTGTAAAACCCCAAACTGCTGCCAGAAGATGGCAAATGGTGGGGGAAGGATTGACAGGAACAGGTTTATGTGGCAGTCCAATACACTTCAGCTGTGTTTTTATAATAACTTAACCTTACATAGAATTCTCAGCTAAGGCAATAGGGTAAAAGAATACTGAGACTTGTATGTTAAATAAGCACCCACTTTTACTGTGCTGAGTCCTAACTAGGCACCTCTTTGAAACCATGTACCATACGGGCTGTGTGGATTTTTGAAGAAATAAATACCATTGGTGAAATCCTGGTGCAATTTAAGTTGATGGGAAAACACCCCCAGGTCGCAACAGTATGCACCCAGATCAGTTCTATAAAAGGGAAGATACATGTAACATGACAGAAAATCACTGTCGATCTCTGAAGCGGTTATAAGCTCTATCTGTCCTTATTAGTATTCTGGTTTCTGGTTACAGTTACATGGAGAGAAGAAGATATACAAGTAGAATACTGCAATCTGCTTTGATCATAAGCTTCATGCTTCCAGAACAGGAAGTCTCAAGAGAGAAATTCCTGAGACAGAAAGGCTTAAGATGCCATTTGGCGATTGCTTGCATGGTGTGGTTTAACAGAAGCAAAGAAACAACAATAATGCATGTCTAAGTACTAACCTTATTCTTCTTTTTTCTTTTCTTTCCTTAGGGAGTCATAGAATTCTCTCTCTGTTTGTTGTTTGCTAAACTAGTCAGTTACACTTTCCTTTTCTGGCTTCCGCTCTATATCACAAACGTAGGTAAGTATCTGTGGGAGGAAAACAAGTGTTTAGTTAGAGAGTGTCATGAACTATGATGAGTCTAGTGACGTGAAAATAAACATTACTGCTTTTGTTTTAAGCTACAGTTGCCCTAGTAGAGTTGAAAGACTGCCGTTTATTATATATGTCAATGATACGTACTGAGAGTTAAGAGATAGCGACCACAAAAATAAGAATCTGATTTCTCTCTGAAAATTGCAAGTCTGTGTGATGACTTTCGCTCGTGAGAACCAGCCAAAAATATTTAATTAAATAAGCCCTATAATAATCATATATTTATAATGGTGCCTTATATCCTGATGGATCCCAAAAAGCTTAATAAGCTGCACAAAGGAATTACTTTATTTCTACTATTTATTTATTTTATTAGATCATCACTATCACTGTGCTTTGTGCCATACAGAACATAGAGGAAGGCATGCTGCCCCAAGAAGTTCATATTCTTTGGGCTATCCTCTGGCTTTTAAATCCACAGCCTCAAGACCAGAAGAGACAGGCAGGCAGAATGCCTGTAGGGAAGTGTGTGCAGTAGGGACACTCACTACATCCTTTGACAGGCCGCAGTATGCCCTCCTAGTAACCAGTACTTCTGTGCTAATAGGTTTGATGAAGGGAGAAGATTAGCTAATAAGTTTTTTTTATGTTTAAAAACAATATAATTAGTTTTATTATATGAACATTAGAGGCGTTGGGCATCTAACTCCCATAGGTGCTTTTGAATATCCCACCCTGTGTTGCAGTAGCACTCAGGTGTCCCGCGGTGCTAGGCACTGTGCAAACACATGCAAAGACATGGTCTTTGTTGCGTATGGTTTATAATCCAGTTGCAGAGGTGTCCCTTTGCATGCTGGGGAGTTCACGGAGTCATTCTGCCTCCTTCTGCTCCTTGGGCATTGCAGCTTTGCACTGTTCTTTGCTCCAGGCTGCGTTTAACCAACACAATCTAGCCAGCCAGTGATACTGGTCACATAAGTAAGGGCTTCAGGATTAGGCTCCCTCTGTGGCCTTAATTTGTACCAAACATGTTTCTGAAACAAAGCAGCATTACTTATTGGTACTTGTTAGTAGTGTGGTGCTCTGATTATTTTTAAGACTGTTGCTAATGAACCAGAAAATTCTTGTGTACACACAAGTTTTACCACTTTAACTCAAGTGGTATGAGCCCCTCTAGCATGGACAGAGTTCTATCAGTATACAATTATTTATACCAGTAAAGCTTATTCTTGTAAATAAGTCATTCTGGTGTAAGGCACCTTTATACCAGTATAACTGCATCCACACTAAGTTGTACTGATTGTAACTAGATGGGTAAAAAAATCACACCACTAACTAACATAATTATTCTGGGGCAAAAGCTGTCTGTGGACCAGGCTTTACATATGGATCTGAATAAAATGAAGAAATTTCTCATAGTTTTGAAGTGAGAGGCTATTCTAATCCGATTTATTCTGCTTTTATTGTTAGAGCATCTTGATGCGAAAAGAGCTGGGGATCTTTCTACATTGTTCGATGTGGGTGGAATCTTTGGTAAGTTTAACACACTATTATTAATCAGACCTAGGTTAGGAAATCTGTAGCACACATAGCTGTTCTGTTTTACTCTTTTACTAAGAAATTGGGGTTTGATCTTGCATCCATCAGAAAATGGCAAAATTGGCTCCCGTGGGAGCAGGATGGGGCCTTACAGCCAAATCCTATGCCATGTGACCAGCCTAAGTAGCAGGTCTAGGGGAATAAATCCATAGCCCCTTATGTGATCCTGGTGCAAGAAAGATTGGAGCATCCTAGTGTCATAGAAACTTCTGTCTCTGTCCCTTTACCCCTCTCTTCCCCTCTGTCACCACATCCCTGACCCAAAAAGGTATCCTGTCCTCACCCTTGCATAGCAGCACTACACCAATTTTGCAGTTCCTCTGCCCAATGTGCCACAGAAGGGGTCTCCAGGGCGGTGATTGGGGTAAGCTGGAGGAGGTTTCACTGGATCCAGAGTTATGTAAATCTAATGGCCCCAGTACACTGAGTAAGTGAAGAAAGGGGTTGCAGCCACTGCTCCAGCTTGGCCCTGAATTTCACCTGCACTACTCCTCTCCACTCAGGCTCTGTGCAGGAGATGTGAATTTCACACCATGCAATTTAAAGCAAGCATAGGTAGATGTATCTCCGTGTTAGAGACTATACCAGTGTGGCTGCATGGCTGTAGTTATGGTGGCATAACCCTGTAGTGTAGAGGGACCCTTTATTGACAGAAGGAGTTTTTCCATCACTTTAAGAACACCACCTCTCGGAACAACAGTAGCTATGATAATACCTAGTCCTGCCATGAGGGCAGGGGACTGGACTAGATGACCTCTTGATGTTCCTTCCAGTCCTAAGATTCTATTATTCTATGTCAACTGAAGCATTCTTCCATTGACATAACTGTGTCTACACTGGGGGTTATGTTGACATAGCTATGTCAATCGGATGTGGGCTTGCTCATACTCCTGACCAAAATAGCTATGTTGACTTCTTTTAAGTGTAGACCAAGCCTAGTTAGCACCCAGAAAATAGAGATTTTATTCAGCAGTCTAAACACAAATCTCGCTCCACTGCAAATCCAAGCCACCAACATAGCTACTTGCAGAGCTTGATGGGGACCCAGATGTGTCAGTGCGATATATATATAGCTGGGCATTTTGCTGTGAGGGTTACCCTTTGAAAAGAGGGAAGGGGGAGGGGGGCAGTAGAGTATGGAAGAGTTGGGAAAACAAAAGTGCACTTGGAAAATTATTGCAAAAGGGCTATAATAATTGGGTCAAATGGAATAGTAAAGAGCAGTTCAAAAGTATTTATCTGTAATTTGGGAGTTATTTCTCCTGCCATCCACATGCTTACCAGAATATCGATCCATGGGTCTTTTCTTTCCCTGATGCAGGCTCCTATTTTCTGGGTTTAACTCCTTGATGAGAAATGGATTTATTATTATTGTTTCATTTTGTATAGCAGTAGCACCCAGGAACCCTAGTCATGAATTTACAGCCCCGTTGTGCGAGGCACTGGACAAACAAAGAACAAAAAGGAGGCCCCTTTCCTAGAGAGCTTACAATCTAGGTATAGGACAAGAGGCAACAGGAGGAGACAGGCAGGCAGGGCAGCATGAGGAGACAAGATGGAATCCCTATTGCATCCTTGCCAGGGTAGCCAAAGGATGTATCCAGTATTAAACTGAAAGCAGACACAGGGTGGCTTCTGGTAACCCTACCATGTGATTTGTGGCTCAGTAAATGTGGGTGGCATACCTCTGGATCTTACACTTGAATTCAGATTGGACACAGGGTTTATGATGATGGCTCTTTTGTCATGGTCAGACTATAACATCCTACATGTTGAGGCTAGGCTTATTCTTCCTCCAGAGGAGACCGAGGCCTTAATTCATTGGTTCAACCCCAGAAGCTGGTTTGACGCAGTTGGGTTCCAAAACACCAGGTGGAAAATACTGGCCAGCCACTTTACTAATGACACAGTGTAGCCATACCCTAGATGTCCCCTCCAATTACATCATCCTGGGTGTACAGATGCCTGAGAAGGAGACAATGAGGCAGACTACAGTGCCCGTCGCGGTTGTCCAGCTCAATCTAATCATTTGTGGCATAGATGATGATAATAAAGCTACTAACTCAAACTAGATTTTCAGTCGTATGCTCTGTGTGTGTGTGTTTATAATAGAAGTGTACCTTTACAACAATTACACTGGATTGCTGTAACTTTGGGGAAATATATGTCCAATTATAGTGCATAAAATGCTCATGAAATAACCTTTTTGTTCTTTAATGTCTCTTTTTTTCAGGTGGCATTTTGGCAGGCATGATATCAGATAGATTGGAAAAAAGGGCTTCAACCTGTGGAATGATGTTACTACTAGCAGCACCTGCCGTAAGATCTACTCTCCTTATTTTAGTTGTGCCCTTTTGTGCGACTGGGTGAGGTTTTGTGAGCATTTCCATTAGAGATTCCTGTTCTCAGCAATCTCTGACCATTCACCCCAGGCTGAAAGTTGCTCTGAAAAGTCTCCGCACAAGAGCCAACACAGAGATTTGGGCTGGTTTTAATAAATTAAATATGCCATTCTTTAGCACGTCATATGCTACAGGACTCTATGAAAAATTGTCACATTCAGCTGGCTTTGACAGCACTCACTAAAAATAATAATTTTCCCTCTGATACTCGCACCTTCTTGTCAACTGTTGGGAATGGGCCACATCCACCCTAACTGAATTGGCCTCGTTAGCACTGACCCCCTTCCCCCACTTGGTAAGGCATCTGATGAAGTGGGTTATATCCCACTAAAGCTTATGCCCAAATAAATTTGTTAGTCTCCAAGGTGCCACAAGGACTCCTCGCTGTTTTTATTGATACAGACTAACACGGCCACCCCTCTGAATCCTTTTACTCAGTTATTCAATTCTGAATCAGAATTGGGCAAGTGATTTGTCTTTTTGATTTCAAACAACCACCAAATAATCAAAATTGCCGGGTCTGTTAATGTTAGGAATCTGGCTGCCACATATGTGCAGTGTGATTTTTATAGTGTATGTCTACAATGCATACACTGATCTTGCCAGAATCAGCAGAACTCTGTGCTATGCTTTATTTGAAAGTGACAGGTTAAAAAATTATGGTCATATTAATTAGCTCTCTATGAGACAGGCAGCCTCATGGGGAAATTGACGGTGATTTCCATGCCAGGGGACTCCAGCACCAAAAATAACAAACAACTTTTCATCGCAAAGACAACTAGTATTTTTCATGTTGTGACATTAAGGAGATTTGTGTGTGTGTGTGAAAACCTACAATTCTGTGAAGAGCAGGGGCCTTAACTTCCTCTCATTCAACTTCAGTGGGAATTTATGCTGGTGAAAGCGTGAGATCAGAATCAAACTTTATTCTTCTGTTTTTACTACTGAAATGTTTACCCATTCATATCCATTACAGCTATACATGTTCTCTGCAATCAGTAAAATGGGCCTAGAAGCTACCATAGGTGAGAACTTAAATTACATTCTGCCTGCTTTTAACTGGACTTGATTTTCTTTTACTTTTGTTCCATTCACACTGATTTTTCTGGGGAAAAAGTCTAGAAACTAATTGTCTGCTTTTCAGAGGTGTTGAACACCTGCAGCTCCCATTGAAGTCAGTTGGATTTCTGCTTAGCCTCTTTAGAGGCCATGAACCACCTGGAATAAAAGGGCAGAGGACAGCATTTCGGTAGCACAGTAATTTCATTTCAGGCCATAGGAAAAATGATTACATTAGAGCTGGTCGAAACATGGAAAACCTCTTCCACAAAAAAATTGGAAAATTCAAAGCCCTTTTTATTTCAGGGGTTTCAAAAAGAAATGATATTTTTCCTCTATTCAATGTGTTTCATAAAAAAAAATTGGAAAAACTTTTTGGTTTAAATGTTTTGGTTTTGCTTTTTGAGTTTCTCTTCTCCTTCACCCCATCCCCACTTTTATTCATTTCACTGCTGGTAAAGGGGAGGGAGGAAATCTGAGAGACAGACAGACGCACACACAAAACTAAGACATTTTCACCAAAAAAATTCCAATTTTGAAAAAAGACACTTTTTTGAAGGGGGGGACCCTTTGTTTGACCATTTTTGACCAGCTCTGAATTGCATCTAGCAGATTGTACCACAAAAGGGGCAGTCTGACAGAATAGGCTGAGGGGGAGGAGATCTCTGTGTGGCTCCCCTTGCAGAGTTTCTCCCCAGCCATTCTGTTGGAGGGGGATGTTCTCTAGGGCCTACCCCCAAAGCTGGAGGAGTCTCACATGCATGTGCTGCGTGGAAGCCTGTATTTGCCCCCCAGAGCTCCCCATCAAATTCCCTGGCAGTGCAGCTGAACTGGAATCGCACTCCCAGGACCTTCCATTGCCTTGCTGCCCCCGTGATTCCCCCCACCCCCTTAAATGAGGGTTCCCTTCCACTTAAGGACTTCTGCTAGCTAACACCTCCTCCAAGCTGTGTCACTACTTCCAGGGACTCTCTGTGGGACTGGAAGGAGGACGATGCCTTAGGAAGGGGAGGATGGTGTCCCTTCCACTCAGGAGGATGAGAATCATGCACAGAGTGGTTGGAAGTGTGATCTGAGCTATTGTTTGACTTACAGAAAGGCAGATTAAAAGTAGGAGTAGAGTTCATTCCTCTCAGCCTCAAACACTGATGAATCTTGAGAGCCTTTGTGGGGGGAAGGAGATAAGGAAATCCAAAGACACTAAAATACTCTTGAACTAATGGGAACAGTTTGATCTCCTTTTGAAAGCAGAAAGGAGCATAATTAACTTAAAAATCACACTTCTCTCTGCAAATGTTGTACCTATTATTGTTATAAGTAACCACTATAGCATCTTAGAAGAAAACCGTTTTTTAAAAAGTCTTGTGCAGTTTTAGCTTATACATTTGTATGTTGTACACCCACTTTCACCATTTTCCCTTTTTGCTCAAGTCTTTCAACTGGGGGAGAAAAACACTAGGGGAAAACAGGAAATGTATTTATAAAACCACAAAAATTATCCTGGGAACTCAGTAGCCAGGACTGTTCTGGAAACTATTTGCAATTCTATTTTAAATGAACAATATCTTTGTGAGTTTGCATTTTTAGGGGTCAGGAAAAATATTCCTTGAGTGGATTGGGGACTGAAGCATACTGATAGTGTGTAGAGAATTATTAGGAATTAGATGGTCAAATATTTCTGTAAGGAAGCTCAAATAGAGGCATGTAATTGTAAGGAGAATGCACCTCTGAGCTGACCCAGTGCCTCAAAATGTACACTGTCGGATAACTGTGTTTAAGGGTGTTGGGAGTCCTACTCTCTGGCTCATCGCAGACTAGAATCATTGTTACAAGGATACATCTCTGGGTGCCATAAGCATGACTGAGTTGAGATGGGACAGAGGGAATTTAATCAAGAAAAACTGACAGAACAGCATGCATCAACAAAAATGCTCTTGCCTCCCTGAGGCTGTGATAAGGGGCTTTTCTTTTTGCATGGCCAGGAAATGAGTGGAGGTGGGGAGTGAGAACCATGAATAACCAGTGAATAACACTGGTTTCTGTACCTGGAACTGAGAGTGCTTGATTCCCTCTTCCAAGTATCAGAGATGATTAAAGAGTCTTATAAACGTAAAGGGATTCTGACCTTTTGTTGGGATAAACTCAGTTTATTTGTGGCCTACTACCAAATACAAAAGGAGAGGAGTTGAAATGTGAAGGCAGTGTTGGTGATGAGGTTTTGTAAGTATGGCACAAGCATCCAAAGGCCCCGTTGAGCTTTGGAGCCCCATTGTGGTAGGCCCTGTACAAACAGATAAAGGACTCTTCTCCGCCCAGAAGGGTTTACAGTCTAAAAGCACAAGCAGCCGAAGAGCTGGGAGTGGACACATCATGTTCTCCACTGTGCTGGAAGCAAACGCCCCTTTGTGCTTAAATCTGTCCCTTGCTACCAGGGCCGGCTCCAGGCACCAGCCCACCAAGCATGTGCTTGGGGTGGCGCCTGGAGGGGGGCGGCGCGGTGGGGCACTCCGGCCCAAGAGCGGGGCTGCGACTGGGCTCGTCGCCCTCCCCGCGGCGCTCTGGACGCTGGGGACAGCGGAGCCGCAGCGGGCTCGCCGCCCTCCCCCCGGCGCTCCGGCCGGTCGGGGAGAGCGGAGAGCCACGGCGGGCTCGCCGCCGTCCCCCCAGCGCTCTGGCCGCCAGGGGCTCGCCGCCCTCCCCCCGGCACTCTGGCCGCTGGCAGCTCTCCGCCCTGCTCCCGGCGCTCTGGCCCTAGGGCGGCAAAAAAGCCCTGCTTGCTACTGAGATGGCTTTTTACCCTTGTTTTCCTTGGTAGCCATTTTGAAGCAAAATTGTACTTCCCATGAATATACTCTTGTATTTACATTGCATTTATTAAAGACATATAGTATGTTAAATGATCAAGGTCTAGATCATCACGTGGGATTGTGATTATAAATAACATCAATTCTGGAAACTTCGTGTTTACTTTTCTTCATCGAACTTCCAACAGTTATGCTGCTTATCAGTGGAGCCCTGGTGAACGGTCCTTATGCACTGATCACAACTGCGGTCTCAGCCGACTTGGTGAGTTTGGCTCTTTTGTTTTACATTTAGCAGACAGACTCGCTCGTTTGCTCTCATTTGCGGGGGGAAGCCTGGGGGTTTCTGTGATGAGTAGTAAATGTGTGTAAAGCATTGAGGGCTCAATTCTGCGTAGTACAGATGTGGTGTGTGTGTTGCACTTTTGTGTACAAGGTAAAGAGTAATGAGCAGGATGGGGAGCATTAAAGAAATCAACCCTGCGTTAATACTGATAATTACTGCTGCCTCCTAAGAAGAGAGATCAAAGAGGGGATCTCTTAGATAAACACTTCATGTGCATGCTGAGGATCACACATAAGGCCACAGGACACGTGCCATTTGCCACCCACATCCTGCACTTTTTTTACCCTGCACCTTTGAGAGTAAGGGACCAGGTGTGCAATGGGCTGGAGACTTATCTCCATTAGGTGTGGAGGGCACTGCCTGGTGCTTGCCCTTCCTTGTGCTCATGTTAGCCTCTGCTCACCCATATACTGCACCCCAGTCAGCCTGTGCTCCCTGCCACAACAGGCCCTGCAGGCTTGTGGTCTGACTGCAGCAGATGCTCCATGAAAACATTGCCCCAGGTACCTTTTCTTCAATTTTGCTTCTCAATGCTAGGTAAATGTATTGCTTTGAAAGGTGCTGGATGGTGGGAGCCCCACAGAGTGAGGTCATTCACCAGCAGAATAGGTAGAGGAAAGGCAGCGGAATTTAAATCCACACCCCATCCCATCCCAGCATTCCTCCTGAGCCTCCTTCGTGATCAAAAGGGAGCACCGGTAGGGTTAAGAGAATGCTCCCCCTTCAGGACCATTCAATCAATAGCCTCATTGCTGTGACTGGCAGCTAGACTGTAGGATCTTGTCACATAGACACCTGCCCTCTGGGAGCTGGACAGAAGCCGCCAACTGATTTTCTCATATTTCACTAAACAACCATCTGACACTAATGACTTTAGGCGACTGGTGACCTAGACTGAATTCTCCTCAGTGCCCTGAGTAAATGAAAGGCTCTGTCTTCTTAACAATCCTCTGAGCCATTCAGTCTCCTATATACCAAGTTATAAAATTGTTCCTATGATCATTCGTTTTGCTCTGCAGTCCTATTGAATAACTGGCCTAATGAAAATGGCCTTCACAACTACTTCCTTTTGGTGCCTTTTGACTCAATAACCTGCTGAGTGGCCCTTTTTATGGCTTTTATCATTGATACTCTAGCTTTGTTAGTATTCTTGTCCAACTAGTGATTCTCTCCTATTCTGCAGAGCTTTCTGATATCAACAATGGCTGTACTGACAGACCACTATGCAGTTTCAGAGAAAAATTGCAGGCTTCAGGCACAACCCATTCTGCCTGAACACCTTGCATGCAGAATAGAAGGGGTTATTTATAAAGAACATCATTAAAATAGATTGGTCATGGGGGATTTTTTTTAAGCAATGATAAAAGGGTCTTGTCCATACCTATGGAACGCTACTTGGTAACGTTCATGCTAACATGTTCATACCTGACTAACCTAATTGCCTTCTATGATGAGATAACTGGCTCTGTGGATGAGGGGAAAGCAGTGGACGTGTTATTCCTTGACTTTAGCAAAGCTTTTTGATATGGTCTCCCACAGTATTCTTGCCAGCAAGTTAAAGTAGTATGGGCTGGATGATAAGGTGGATAGAAAGCTGGCTGGATCGTCGGGCTCAACGGGTAGTGAGCAATGGCTCCATGTCTAGTTGGCAGCCGATATCAAGCGGAGTGCCCCAAGGGTCCTGGGGCTGCTTTTGTTCAATATCTTCATTAATGATCTGGAGGATGGCGTGGATTGAGGTCCCTTCCAACCCTGATATTCTATGATTCTATGATTTTCTATGTATTTGTCCATTATTTCATGATATGTTTTTCTATGGGAAAGGCCAAGAGTATGACGCAGATACATGGCCATTTCCCAGGCTCATCTGTAAATGGTTCTGAAATGAATATTTGTCACTGTAGGGTACCCATAAAAGTCTGAAAGGAAATGCAAGAGCCCTGTCCACAGTTACGGCTATCATCGATGGAACAGGTTCTGTAGGTAAGCTATCGTTCGGAAGCTGCCTGCCTTATCTGCAATAGGCTTTCTGTGGCTCTAAGTGCTAGAGAATTACAGTGTAGTTCTGCTCTGAAAGTGGACTAAAGCTGGCATCAAGGAGTTCCATGTCTGTGTCTCAATGATTTGCACATCACGTGTGCGCAGTTTGCATATAAAAAGATGGCTCCCTCCCCCCGCAACTGCCAGTGCTACAAAATCAACTCAGGCTCTTTATCAAGCTGGATTCTCTCCATGTCACACCTGGCCAGTACTAAGCATCACTTTGGGAGTGCGGAATGGGCAAAGACGGCTTTAGGCCTCCTTTGTACTTTCCCAGGCTTGGTGGTGGTGGGCTGGTCCCCAGCACAAATTAGAACAGTATACTGTTCTGGGTACCTGAGATCAAGGATGCCTTGGTTATGCCCTCTGCACCAGCAGTGGTGAGGGAGGCAGAGATCCACCGTGATAGACCTACACAACCTGCAGACACCTCTAACCAAGGGGAATCATCCACTGGCCATCCAGCTACACCAGTGTTATGGCAGCTTTGCAGCCATATATACTGTCTATAAACCTTATGGATCCTCTTACAAATGTATGCCAAAATGGGTTTGCTTTTATGAAGGTTGAAACTGAGTAAAATATCCAAACACAGAATATCTTGTCATAGGAACTAGTAATGTTTCCATCTCAGAATTTGAACATGTTGTGTCATTATTGTATTTTAGGTGCTGCTCTCGGGCCTCTGTTAGCTGGTCTCATCTCTCCCTCTGGTTGGAACAATGTATTTTACATGCTAATGGTGGCAGATGCATGTGCCTTATTAGTAAGTCTAAATAAAACATTTAGTGCCATATTTCTTTCTTATAAAGCCCTTTGTGTTAAAATGGAAATTTCCTCCTTGTAGTGTGATTTGCATATTCTATTATTGAGTGGGAAGTTTCCATTCATATTGTAGAGTTCTTTTTGTTTGTTTTTTTTATTTAAAGAACTAAGATGAGCATTTTGAAATTCTTGTTGAACTTTGAAGCCGGAGAGCAGATTAGCTTCAATGGGTGATATCTGTATGCAGTAGCTCACCAAAGGGATTGCCACAAACATAGTTGGAAGCAAAAATTCACATCAGTTTTGGCCCACAGAAGAATTCTTCTGTTTTTTCTCTTAAAGGCAGCACCGAAGCAGCAATGCCAATTTACTGAAATAGTAACACATTTTGCTGCATTGCCACAGAGTCAGTATCACCATGGTAATTCAACTGTTAAGAATGAATGCTTCACGTATTCCAATTGGGTGTCCATCACATCTTTCTCCTGTTTGACAAAGTGTAATGGATGGGATGATCTGAAAAGAGGCTGTTTCTGACTTGTCCTATTTTATCTTATCTAGGCAGATTGTCTTCTGTGGTGTTTAAGGCACAAAATAAGGAGTCAGGAGATCTGTGGACTAATTACTTGCTGGTGTAACTATTAAAGTCCGTGGTGTTACAGCAGCAGAGAATATAGTCTGGAGGTTCTGTTTCTAATTTTGCCACAGATTTCCTGAATGCGCTTCGTCAAATCTCTTAACTTCTATGTGCCTCTTGTTTGCCCCTCTGCCAAGGGAGGATGACATTATTGACCCACCTCAGAGAGGGTTAGGGAAGGTTCATTTATTAATCCTTTGTAAAGTGCGTTGGTATCACTTGCTGGAAGGTGATGACAGAAGGGCTAAATTTTTGTTAGACACGTCAGAATCAGGCCCCTGTCTGATCTGCATGGACAGTCCCGTATGCCATACAGTTCCATTGAATTCAGTCACGTACATGCAGGGAAGGTAGGGTGACCAGACATCCCGATATTAGGGGCTTTGTCTTAGATAAGCAACTATTATCCCCACCACACCCTGTCCCGATTTTTCACATTTGCTATATGGCCACCCTAAGGGAAGCAGTCCCCCTGTGAGGGTCAGATTGCACATCTCTAACTCAAGAAAAAGGTTGGTTTGTTGCCAAGTTGTTCCACATTATAGAGTAAGATGTTTGGAAATTAATAAATAAAATGGACAAGTTAGTCAGATTTCAAGAGGCACTCCCACAAATATTCAGTAGTTTTTAGATTGTAGCTCTTTTAGTACACCAAGAGACTGCGTTCATGTTGCTATGGCCCAGTACAAGATCCAATTCTTTTGAAGGAGCTGAATGTCCCTTTCCATCATAGATGGAAACCTCTGCTTCCCACTTGCTGGGTCCTATCAAATGAATGAATGTGTGTTTATACATGACTGCATAACTTCTTTACTCAGCCATTACTGGTGCTGCCAGGATTTATATTGGCCAGTGGGTAAATTCCTTGTCAGGGTGATAAATCCGGCTATTGGAACCTTTTTTCCTTTTTTGCCCCAATATAACAAATAGAGCTTTTAAGATCTATATTTTAAACTGATTTTTTTTCCAAAAGTGCATGAGGGAATTAGGCCTTTGAATTCAATTGAATTCCAATGGGAATTAAATGTGCAAAGGGGGAGTAGGTGCCTTGAAAAATCACAGCCTTCATTTCTAAGACTAGTTGTAACTGGTTCACACTGATAATAGCCAAAAAACATAGAAGATTGAAATTTTCTTAGCATGGGTTTTTCATCAAACATCGTCTGTAAGATCACTCTTCTGTTTCCTCTTGATGGAGGGCTGTATTAATTGGTATACCTATGACAATAAGTATAAAGGGCCTGATCCTGCAGTCAGTAATGGACCTGAGTAAGTTTAATTGCTTACAGGATTAGACCCAAATGTGTGTCTCAGAGCAATGGTGGTATAATAGATACCATTTTTCTTGCAGTCTTGGGCTCCCTCTGCTGGTCTCATCAGAGTCTTGCTGGTACAATAATAAAATAGTTATTGTTAGAACTGGTAAAAAATGGTGAGGCAGGGTGGACAATCACCATGAATTTCACTCATTTTCATTCCACAGATTTAGAAGTGGAACAATTTTTTTGTTTGAAATAGTAATCCCAAATGTTTGGGAATTTGGGGCAGGGTTGTTGATGTGGGATGGGGGTTTTCTCCAGTTTTCCTTCCTCTTCCCCTCCACCCAACTTTGCCACTGAAAAGGTGGGCAGAAGGGGGGGGGGAAAGGTATGTAGGGAGAGGAAGAGAAAACATAATTTGAAAAAAACAGCAGTTTTTGTTTTTTCAATTTTGTCACAATGCGGGTGGGATTGCAAAAATGTTCTATTTTGAAAAATGTCCAGTCCTCCAGTCCTTGCATAACCTCTGGATCCTTGCTGATACAGAGAAAGACTTTGATTTAGCTCCTCTCACGTGAGTGGTACAAATTAATCTTCCAACCATTGACTGAACATATGAGAATATAATGGGTTTCCATTCGGTCGAACTGGGATAACAATAAATGAAGAATTCAGAGTAGCAGTGTGCGTTTGACACTGAAAACTTAGCTGAGTGGTTCACCTGTCTAGATATTTAACCCAGATTTGTTTTTTGTACAGTTCTTACTCCGTCTTATACGAAAAGAACTCCAGTGTAAGATGGACCAGACCTTGTAAGTCTGTTACTTGTGTTTTTCTATATGATGATTAAATGTTTTCATATGTCATTCTTGGCTTCTCCACCTTTGATGTGCTCCTTCTCCTTGCAGAAATCATGGATTCTTCCTTTATGTGCATGTACCTTAATCTGTGGGATTTTTCTGTTTTGTAAAGAGTAACCTCTTTTTCTTTAAATCATGAAAATCTTTCTTAAAAACTATTTTTTAAAACAGTAGAGAAAATTGAGTTCTCTGTCACATTCTCTGTACATTTTCTCCAAAAGGTGGGGCCCTCTTAATTTATCACCCTTGAGTGTGAAACTTGGCAATATGAGGTTTTTGGTTGGTTGGTGGTGGAATTATTTTAATAGCTCAATTTGTACTTTTTTTCAGAAGTTGGCAGGAAGGAAAGGGTGGTTCAATAATGATCTGGAGGATGGCGTGGATTGCAGCCTCAGCAAGTTTGCAGATGACACTAAACTGGGAGGAGTGGTAGATACGCTGGAGGGTAGGGATAGGATACAGAGGGACCTAGACAAATTAGAGGATTGGGACAAAAGAAATCTGATGAGGTTCAACAAGGACAAGTGCAGAGTCCTGCACTTAGGATGGAAGAATCCCATGCACTGCTACAGACTAGGGACCGAGTGGCTAGACAGCAGTTCTGCAGAAAAGGACCTGGGAGTTACAGTGAACGAGAAGCTGGATATGAGTCGACAGTGTGCCCTTGTTGCCAAGAAGACTAACAGCATATTGGGCTGTATAAGTAGGAGCATTGCCAGCAGATCGAGGGATGTGATCATATCCCTTTATTCAGCATTGGTGAGGCCTCATCTGGAGGACTGTGTCCAGTTTTGGGCCCCACACTACAAGAAGGATATGGAAAAATTGAAAAGAGTCCAGTGGAGGGCAACAAAAATGATTAGGGGGCTGGAGCACATGATTTATGAGGAGAGGCTGAGGGAACTGGGATTGTTTAGCTTGCAGAAGAGAAGAATGAGGGGGGAATTTGATAGTTGCTTTCAACTACCTGAAAGGGGGTTCCAAAGAGGATGGATCTAGACTATTCTCAGTGGTACCTGATGACAGAGCAAGAAATAATGGTCTCAAGTTGCAGTGGGGGAGGTTTATGTTGGATATTAGGAAAAACTTTTTCACAAGGAGGGTGGTGAAGCACTGGAATGCATTACCTAGGGAGGTGGTGGAGTCTCCTTCCTTGGAGGTTTTTAAGCCCTGGCTTGACAAAGCCCTGGCTGGGATGATTTAGTTGGGGATTGGTCCTGCTTTGAGCAGGGGGTTGGACTAGATGATCTCCTGAGGTCCCTTCCAACCCTGATATTCTATGATTCTATGATTTTAAACCAGTGTAAACCCAGAGAAGTTCCACTAAATCAATGGAGTTATACAAAAGTAAAACGAGTGCAAGTGAAATCAAAATCAGGTCCCTCATCTGTAAATATAGCATAGAATAGGAAAGTGTATAACAAAGAATGTGGACAGCATTTTGAATTTATTGATATCTTATTATGCACTGCTTCCAAACTTCTCATATTAGGTATTTTTTCACAGGTTTAAGGAACACTGACTTATGATATTTCAGACATGGAATTAAGGTCTTCATGTGTGATCAAAACTACGCCCTCAAAAGACTGTGGAATAAATTATTCTGTATTTGTGATTTGTCTTGTGGAGCGTTTTGCACATTTACCAGGACAGGATTGAGAAATTCAGCTGGTGAATTCCTGGTGAAGTTTTTTTGTTTTTGTTTTGTTTCCTGTTTGCACATACATCAGTCTCTCAGGATGGTGACTGTTTATCACATGAAGAGACAGAAGCTTTGGGAAGCTGTATGCCTTAACTGAGCCAAAAAAGAAATACCAAGTGCCTTTTGATTCATGTTGATAGGATATTTTAAGTAAACCTTAAACTGCTTATTTTTAACAAACTGCAAGGAGATTTGAGAATAGAGCACAAAGAAGAAAATGAACTCTCTTCGGATGCTTCAGCAGTGGAATGTGCCAATGGTATTAGCAAAGCATTTGTGAGCGAAGTGTCCTTTTAAGAACATAAGAACGGCCATACTGGGTCAGACTAAAGGTCCATCTAGCCCAGTATCCTGTCTTCCGACAGTGGCCAATGCCAGGTGCCCCAGAGAGAATGAATAGAACAGGTAATCATCAAATGATCCGTCCCCTGTCACCCATTTATGCCACCTCTTAAAAGATAAGGTCATCACACTATGTGAAAGTACCAGCTGTCTCAGATTCACTGCTATTCAATATCCTGAAGCAGTTTAAACAGTAAGAAAGTAGTCCGACCATATTATCAGACTTTCACTACAGCACTAACTTATCCTACACTGTAAAATCCCCAGGGCAGCATTCCGCTCTTTTATGTATAATATATTGGAACTTGTACATAAGTAGTTACAATGTGCTGTAAAAAAGTAGCCTCCACTAGCCACCTGGATGGGGAGTTTTGCTCATTTGGGGTTGTCAGAAAAGGAGACTCAAACAACAAAGAGGCTTATTATGATGGCGCATTTCCTGTCAGGAGTTCTAATGATTTGTAGGGCATTATACACGGGTTGTACAAACTTTAGAGAATTGTTTTATTGTTAATTCTGTAGGCTCCTTTGGAGTTGCAGGTTATTTTTAATTTGGAGGGCAAAGGCATTGTCTCACCTGTGACTGAAGCTTTAGCACTAGCTGCCTTTTTTTTTTTAAATGGGTGAACAAAAAATTGGCTGGTTTAAACCCTGATCCTGAAATGGTGTTGAGTTCAAGCACCCATTGACTTCAATGGGGCTGGATGCAGTGCAGGGAGTCTGTCCACTCAGAGCTCACTGCAGGATCAGGACCTTAATCATAGCACCAAAAATCTGTCAAAAAACTAATGTTGCAGTCCAAGTTTAGAGTCAAAGTATATGGTTTAAAAAAAAAAACCTGACCCACATACTGGACATAAAGTCGAGAGAGGAAATTCAGAGGTTTATATTATCCTGTAAGTGCAAGTGTTAGTGTTTTCATAATACACTGTTTCTTCTTGATCTGACAGTTTTTAATCTCCTTCCAATAGAAGACAAGCTTCTGGTGAATATTTGTAAGATGTACAATAATATTAAAGGGAATTTCTATAAAAGAGATGTTTATTATGTTGACTATAAAGGTTAAATAGACTTAAGCTGTATATTGTTATAATGTGTATTTATTAAACCTCTGCAGAACTGTTCTTCTGAATTTTTTGCTTTTTTAACTTTTTTACAAAACACTGTGGTACTGTACATACCTCACTTGCTTAACAAAATAACCTTTTTTTAAAATAACCCTTCAGAACATACAAAGAAATTTCTTCTTTCTCATCAACTTCTTGTTTGCATTTTTGGTTCTGGCACAATGCTTAATCTTTTTGAGTTGTTTTGGGTGATGGTGTTTTTTGTTTTTGTTTTAAATCCTTTAACCTTTGAGCAGTTGTTCTTGAACTCATGCTTTTCTCATGTTTTTTTGCATTTTTGGCCCTGATTCAGCAAAGCGCTTAGGCACGTGCTTAAATGCCATTGACTTGAACAAGACTTCACAAATGCTTAAAGCTAAGCACTTGCCTATGCACTTTGTTGCAAATAAAGGTCCCTACTCAGCAAAGAATCGGCCTCAATCCAATAGATTTATGCATGTGCCAAAGTCCATGTGTGATCCATGCCAGACAACGGTCTATGTCCTGCAAAGATTTACGTAAATGCTTAACGTCACACATTGTGAACAGATTCATTAAAATCAATAGGACCGCACACACTGCATAAAGATAAGCACATGCCTAAGTCTTTGCAGGATTCAGGCCATAGTTGTCAAAACCGTTTTACTCTTAAACTCCACCATTTGCAAGTAGTTGTTTTTAAAGCTTTGTCACTCCAGCTAAAGTCTTATGTTAAAGTGCTTCTAACTGTATTAGTTGATAACAGAATTATACCGTTAAGATGTTTAGTGTATTCCAATTTTAAGTGTTTCCTTCTTAGGAGCTGACATTATTCATTTCATTTTTTATTTTTTTGCAATATAAGAGCCCACATGTGAGGCAGTGAAGGTGTCCCAGGCAGGACTAAGAGCCCTCCCTCCCACTGACTGCACTGGTGAATTAGAGCTCTCAGCTACTCACATTGTGTCCTTTATGGTTCGGAAGTTTAGATTCTTTTGAATTTACACAATCCTTGCAGTTCACTTAACTCATGTGGGATTTTCTTCAGTGTTGTGATATTCTCTTTACCACTTTATTTGGGGTTGAGTGGGAGAATCCACATCTGTAAATAAAAAAAAAAACACTAAAATGTTAGCCAGCAAATTAAATGTCAAGATATGTTGAGGAATAACAAACCTAGTGAAGCATTAATGATATTTTCTAAGGTGCTAGGAAATTGATTAATTTCTGTGCCAGGAAAAAAATTTGTCGTCATATGGAATTCCCTGTTCATTAAGGCCAAAGAGTTTTGTCTGTAACAGGAATTCTGCCTGACTAAGAACAGCAGGATCAGGCTTAAAATTTCCAAAGGGCCCTCAGCCTAACCTCTAAATGTGTTCACAGTTTGCATGTGTAATCATTTTCCGGTGCAGATAATTAAATTTGAAGGCCTAACTCCCATACCTAATTTGCCCATGGAGAAGGAATTTGGTCACTTCTCTTTTATAATCATCCCTAAAATTCCTTGCATTCTGACCAAACAGTGCATTTTGTTAGCTTCTGGTGTCAATACTCATTCACCTGGGGGTGAACAAATCTGGTGACAAATGTGTACAGGAATGTAGAAGTGTGGTAGTCAAAGTAGGCTTAATATCTGAATGTGAAGTGTTTCCATTTTAAATACTGATTATTTGCAGATTAAAATATTTTTTCATAGCATATATTGAATAAAGATGGATTCTGTATTTAAGTTTAAAATGTGGATTGCTTTTTTCCTCTTTTATATCTTAATAAGGAAATTGTCCATTTCCTGCCTGTGAGAGTAGCCCCTTTCTTGCGGAAGTAGTGGAGATAATTTATTAAGGAAAACAAACTAGAATCTTTCTTTCAGACACAGTGGCTTTCTTACCTGAAAGTAGAATTAGACACCTTGGAGCAGGATGCAATGACCAATGTGACCATTAGAGAGACAATGTGGGTGAGGTAATAGCTTTTATTAGACCAATTTCTATCAGTGAGAGACATTAAGCCTTCCTCTCTGTCCTGTGTGAAAGCAGACACTCAAGAAAGGAGACAGGGCCCAGCACTTCTTAAACTAGTTACCTTAGAGTGCCATTTAAACTCTGTCTATTATGTCCCATCTGTTCTTGGATATATAGTCCATATATGCAGACAATGAATATTCCTGTCTTCCCCCCTTTACTGTGCCCCATCTTTTCTCCTTTTCCTCCTCTCTGTTCCCAGCCCTCTCAAGAATTTCATGGTCTTGATCAACTTACAGTGTTTAATGTTGTGTGACTCTCCTAGAGATATAATGGGATTAAAAGCACTTCTGCATGGGGGGAAAATGCTAGGAGGTGAAAGCAAGTTTCCAGTTAAGAAAGCTTTGCAAAATTACATCAGAAGAAAGATTTCCATGTGTCTAAAATACTTCTAAAGAAAATATTGGGGGCAGGGGTGCGACCCTGGAATCTAGTACTTTTTATGGGGGGAGAAGGGGAAGGAGCAAGAGATGAAGAAATGAACAAGTATAAAAAAAAATTCACTTTGATGTACAAAAAAATGGAAGCCCTGAGGTGGGTTAGAAAAATACAAAGGCCCATATAGTACAGAGCAATTTCAAATGGTTTTGGTAAGTGCAATCTGTAACTGTGGCACTCAGCCTTACAGAGCTAGAGAGCTACTGCAGCATCACAGAGATATAGAGCCATAGCAAAATAAATTGAGATAAATGTTCAGTCCATCTGTCTGGGTGTTTGTAGACAGACACACACGCACACACAGGTTTGACCTCCAGCAGGTCATATACTTGTCACTGCAGTGCAGACATGAAGCTGGTGTCCTGGAATGCAAACTTTATGGGGGAATTCCTTTGAGAATTCCTGAACCACTTCCTTCTCTAGTGAGGTTCCCAATGGGACAGCTTCCAAAAACCATGTGGCATAGTCCACTATTACTAGAATGAATGTATGTCTTCCTTTATCGAATCAAAAGACTCATCCTAATCTTCCCAAAAGGCTACTTCTCACTAGAACCAAGGGAACTAGAAGAGCCTGGTAACTGTCTGAGCCACTTTCTGGCACTCTGGATGGGAGGCACAAAAACTAGTCATTTCATGATGAGCCATCAAGACTGCAACCAATCTCTGTAGACTCTTCTCCCTTCCCATGTGGCCAGCAGAGGGTATGATATCAACAAGCCATAGAACTTCCCTTTGAACTAGTTTCAAGAATGATGTCCGATATAACGTTTTTGGATAAATTGGTCCACTCAATAAAACAACTCATTTCTCAACTTGAAATGAGGAAACTAGGTGGCCAATCTTTCACAAGTTACCACCCTATTTACCATAAATCACTGGTGGTGTGCCTCCCTGAGGTTCTTCTCACTCCCGCTCTGCCACTAGATTAAATTGTTCCCCGAGAACGTCTGGTTCTAGGCTAGCAATTGATCCATATAGTAACCGGGTCTCAGAGGCCTTGAAAGTGAAAGCTGATTCCTTATTTAGATTGTAAACCTTCAGTTTAGGGACTGTCATTTACTATGTGTTTGTACAGTGCCTAGCACAATGAGGCCCTGATCCTAACTGGAGCTTTTAGACACATTCTGAATGAAAATAATAAAGAATATCTAACCATGCCTTGTAACTGGTTTGGCTGGTCCTTCTTCCTTCCAGCTCTCTTTGCACTAGGCCATCCGAGAATGCATTGCCTCACATCCTGCTTTTGCTGCTCCATGCCCAGGCCCTGCAGAAACTCCGTCCTCTCTGGAGCACTATGGGATAGCCGCCTACATTTTCCCAGAACTGATTAATACAAACAAGGTAGGTGCAGATGTACAAACATGGTTGTGATGGCAGTAAAGCTGCTGCGTGGACACAAAGTGAACCATGTTGCCTGTAACCAGTGCAGGTGAATATGTCCCTCTCCCACCATATTAAAACGTGACTTGATAACATGACTTCAGACATTTTAGCCTGCATGTTGTCAGGGCTTTTGGGTTATGCTAAGCTAACTCGATTGAGGTAACCCTACTGGAAAAAACATACCCATTTAGCCAATCAAGCAAGGGTCTGGTAGTTTACAAAACCATGGTTCAAACTTCTAGTGAGGACAAAGGTAAAGGAAGTAACTTAAATCTACTGAAAGTGCCCCGGGAGAAGTGCTGTATTAAAACAGATGGGACCTTTGGCTCCTAGGATTTCTTTTCTCATTCCAGTGCTTATATTCCTATATAATACAAATAGCAAATGTGATGTGAACACAGGCTTATGGAGGGGCTTCAGTGCTTTGAGTTTGGCAACAGAATACAAAGATGAAAGAAACATAGCAAAAATGTAAACTTCTGTATCTCATTACAGTCCATCTTCCAGATAGCCAAATTACTGTAAATACATTCCAGTGTCAGTCTTTCCTTTTTCATCTAATTGAAATAAAATTAAAAAGAATAATAACTCTGGAACTTTGCTTATCAAATCATGAGAGCCTAAATGGAAGCCATAATAGCATTAACCATCCATTGTTTGTGTATACCTCTTGGGATGTAAGTCTCTTTAACTCTGGCAGATGCTGCTGTAAATTCCCTGGAAATGCCCATCTCTGTTGCTTGAAAAAGTGAAGTTTTATTTTTAATGGCATTTCACCTTCAAATACTAAAGAGACCACACTGAAGATTTTTTTGTCTTCAGCCTCCTGCAAGGGGTACATGTGGCATTTTAAAGAACAAAACAAAAAACTCCTGTTGTGGTGGTTCTTGCATCTCAATAAAGGAATTTCAGATAGGATTCCTCCTTACATTTGTAAAAGTTATTCCATATGTTGAGTGTATATGTCTCAGGTATGAAGACTTTAGAACAATATTGGGGATGTCTAATTTATATTTATGCTGATGTCCTATTAATTCAGACTTTCTCAGTGACCTCTTAATAGATTTAGACTTACAATTCCATTTAGTCATCACCACTCATAGGTTCCTGCAGTGGTCAATATACAGGATTGCTAATGTTAAAAGTGACAAGGAGGGTGAGGTAATATCTTTTATTGGACCAACTTGTGTTGGTGAAAGAGCTCAAAAGCTTGTCTCTCTCACCAACAGAAGTTGGTCCAATATAAGATATTCTCTCACCCACCTTGTCTCTCTAATATCCTGGGACCAACATGGCTATGATGACACTGCAAACATCTGTTATAAATGTTGTTCAAAGTCAGACTGACCTAGTATATTATAGAAGTCAATGGATGTTCAGAGTTGTTGGATGTTTTCAAACCTGGGTCTGATTTTAGGAAGATCCATTTTAGTCAAACACAAGTTACTGGGCTCAATACAAAGAGATCTGGGTGAAATTATTTGGCCTGTGTTACACAGGATATCAGAGCAGATGATCTAATGGTCTCTTCTGTCCTTACAATCCAAGAAGTATGATTTCCTTACCTCTCAACTATGATTTTTTAAGCTAGGGGGGGTCTGGTTTTTGGGGGGGTGTTTTAAAACTTTTGAAATGGAAATCACTTGCATTATCTGTCCTCTCTGGTAATTACAGATGAGACTGTCAAAGCTACTATATGAATGTAGAAACACATCGCTCCTTAATTTCAAGGGGAATTGTGCATCTATCCCCCTAGATGGCTTTGAAAATTTCACCCCATATTTCCTACAACGCTGAATTAAAATTTTGTGTATCCTCTTGATTGGGGGTTGATTCAAATATTTTAATGCTTTACTCTCAAGTGCTGTAGATGTATTATAATACGAATTTCTCTTCAGAATTTAATTGTCTATATCGATGTAAAGAATTTAGCATTTCCTCTGTTCATTTCCCTTGTTATAGCTAATTTTCAGCGTGGAGTAATGTTGGAAATATATCTCCTTACAAGCAGAGAATTACTTGCCATTAGGGGAATATTCTACTGCACATGCCTCTCTGTGCCACCATAGACCAGGCTCTCTTTCTACTGCTGTAAACTTTTTGTGCATTCAAAGACTATGAACTCCACAGCCAAACTTTTCTCAGACATGTTGCATCTGAACTGTCTGTCACCTGCTTTGAAAAACGTGCTGTGAGAATCTGTCGCAAGCTGTTTCTGAGGCTGTAGATTGCTATATATTCATTTGCCATGTTTTTATTTACTTTCTTCAACTGCCTGTTCCACTTTTTAGGTATATGCAGGGTAGGGTAGGATTTCCCTCCCCCCCGCCCCTGCTTTTACAAAAGGGGCTTAACCACGTTTCCTTCATTTCTATGAGTGATCCAGAAGCTTACTCCATCTCTAAGGCAACTCTGCAATACAGTGGGCTTGTATATGTTCCTGTGGAAGAACAGCAGCACACAATGCTGTATTTCACAGCTTTCTTCTCTGTTTACATAGCACAGGCTTCCCTTGATGGAAAAACACATTGTAATGGAATCGTTTTTAGTTTCCTTGTTTTTAGTTTCCTTGCATCGCAGTACTGCCTAGAGGCCAGGGTTCCATTAAGATAGGCACCGTATGCATATGTATGCATACAAAATGAAAACAGTCCCTGCCACATGAGCATACAGTCTAAGTACATCACTGCTGTAAATGACACAACTCAGCTGCGTCTTGCAAGTCCAGAAGGCTTTTATTTTAAATTCCCGAATGACTTTTGAAACCGTGAATGACCTTATGTTCACCTGTCCTTCACCACCAGTAAAGAAATATTTTGGTAAACAAATCCATGGGGAAAATGTAGCATTTAAACAGGGCCATTGTAATGCTTTATTTCCTGTTTTCTTATCATGCTTACGATATTTTCTAACAAAAGGAAACCTAAAAGAAAAAATTGAAAGTGAAAATCATTTTGTTTCATTTTCTGCTATCAGAGGCAACATTCTTTTCCAATTCTGGCAATGTTGACGATGATTTCCCAACATTAAGTGATGATTATGGTTTTGGATACACCAGAAGACAGGCCTCTTGCTGCATACAAATGAATGAATTTGATGATGTGAA